AACGATACAGAGAAGATTAGCATGGCCCCTGCGCAAGGATGACACGCATAAATCGAGAAATGGTCCAAATTTAAATAAATAAAAAAAGTTATGAACTTAAATTACTTAATTCAAAGTTGAAACTTCAAAGTTAATCATACTGTAATGGACCCAGTCTGATAGATACTCAGAATTCGTCAAACACCAGTAGTCTTGGTATCTGCAACAAAGTCTCCAAATCATGAAGTGATATCACAAACAGTATCTCGTTACCATTAAAAGAAGAGAGTGGAGGGGGATCAGACAGAGGAGAAGGTGGAAGAGAAGATAAAAGATCACACAAGAGTAATCCCGTCAAACCCCTCTCCTTTCTCCGGGCTTCTTCCCTCTCCACATCAACAACCAGTAGATGATAACAAGTATAGTAATCCTGATCACAAACAGTAGTGCCACATGGCAATCTTATCTCGTGGAGACCATGAAGACAACAGCGGATTTCAGTGTCGACATCAACCTCAGGTGAGTATCCGACCTCCCTCATCCACAGATCCCGACCTTCCTCCTCCTCCCAACCAGTCACCTCATGTAGACAGCGCGGACAATGCCACGCCAGCAGTCGAGACAGGTGGCATACACCACATCATCAATGAAGAACAGTGGCATGCGCCACATCAGCAATGTAGACTAGAAACAGCGTCACATCGTCATGCAGTGTAGATCAGAGGCAGCGCCACATAGACCAGAAGCAGCACCACATCAGCATGCACTGTAGACCAGAGGCAACGCAACATCAGCATGCAATGTAGACCAGAGGTAGCGCCACATCAGCGTGCAACATCAGCATGCAATGTAGACCAGAGGCAGCGCCACATCAGCATGCAATGTAGACCAGAGGTAGCGCCACATCAGCTTGCAATGTAGACCAGAGGCAGCGCCACATCAGCATGCAATGTAGACCAGAGATAGCGCCACATCAGCATGCAATGTAGACTAGAGGTAGCGCCACATCAGCATGCCTGGCGCACAGAGCAAGAAGCGCCAGCCTGCTGCCTCCACCTCGTGCCGTCGTCCGCAACACCTATGCACAGCCAGCGTCCTAGCCAGCGTCGCGCCAGCATAATGCCAGCGTCTTGTCAAAGTCGAGCCAGTGTCAAAGCAGCATGGCAAGACTGAATGTTGACCACCCCGAGGCCAGTCTTTAAGTCGCATTTGACGAGGCTCTCTGGCCTCGGGTCTCCTCCCCTCAGTCGTCCAGATTGATTCACAGCCGAAGGCCTGGATTGTACAGTTGCAGACTTTCCCCTTGGACCTGATGCTGTCTGGGTACCTGCATACAAACAAATGTGTGTGTCCGACCGGCGGCCTGGGCTAGGTACATTTTGACTTTGACTGTTGGGGTTTCCAACAGTTGACTTTTGTCAACTGTACCTCGTCCAGGCCCTGAATCTTTTGCTGGGGTCTTTTCCCACGTTTTGGCCTGGGCCTGGATGTGGCCTGGTGAGGCGCTCAGTTTCCACGAGGCTTACTACATGGGTTATTGCAATACTTTTTTCTTTTTCTTTTTTCCTCTGTTTCTTTAGTCTTGTCCTTGCTTTGCACTGTTTGCAACTCTGCATGTCTGCTACCGTCTTCACCCGAATAGAACGCCCAGTCATTATCGCTGTATGTAGACTGAAAATTGCACCAAATACGGCTATAATGACCGGGCGTTCTATTCGGGTGAAGACGGTAGTTGAATGTGCTTGTTGATTTGCTGCAAGACAGGTGCTTTGCTGCCTGAACTACAAAGTGCAAAGCAGGCGAGTGCCTGCCAACACCCCCACCCACCCACTCACCCCCCCGTTTTTTCAACATTTTTTTTTTTTTCCCGGTCCGGACATTTTGCACCCCCTGACACCGGTCCGGACTGTCCGGGTCCGGTGATATCTGGGTGTCCGGTGGTGTCCGGATCACTGGACAGTCTGGACCGTTCCAGACACTAGTCTGGAAGACAGTCCGGAAGTGTCCGGTGTCCGGTGTCCGGGTCCGCGGTTACCATAGTTTTTTCTCTTTTTTTTTTTGAAAGAGGGGTTCGACTGTACTCGCCGAGAACAGTCAGAATCCAAAAAGAAATCCCTGATCTGATTTTTTTTTCCTGGTGGTGGTTGGGGGCGGAGGGGGTGTGGTTGGGGGGGTCAGTCAGTGTCCGGCGAGAAGATGAAGAAGAACAAGTTGGTAAAAAAAAAACAAAAAAAAAACATATTTATGGCTGCCTATGGGAGAGATGGAGGGAGGCGGAGGAGGAGGAGGAGGTGGATAAGAAGAAGAAGACGAAGAAGAAGAAGAAGAAGAAGAAGAAGAAGAAGAAGAAGAAGAAGAAGTAGAAGAAGAAGAAGAAGAAAACCGGGGCCTATAGCTATGGCAACCATTGGGGGAGAAGAAGAAGAAGAAGAAGAGGAAGAAGAAGATGATGATGAAGAAGAAGAAAATCACGGCCTATGGCTATGGCTATGCCTGCCGTTGGAGGAGGAGGAGGAGGAGGAGGAGGAGAAGAAGAAAACGAAGAAGAAGAAGAATTGTAGATTAGAGGAGGAGGAGAAGTAGTAGAAAATGAAGAAGTCTATGGCTGCCTATTGGAGAGATGGGGCCAGAAAAAGAGACTTGAAAATAAAGAACAAGTCTACGGCTGCGTTGATGAAGAACTTGAAAAAAAAACCGCGCCTGTGCCTGCCTATGGGCGAGATGGGGGGAGAAGGTGGAGGAGGATGAGAAGAAGAAGAAAAATATCCAGGCATGTGGCTATGAGTAGCGTTTGTGGAAAAGAAGAAGAAAAAGAAGATGACGACGAAGAAGGAGAAGAAGACGGTGAAGAAGAAGAAGAACTAAAGATTACAGGAGGAATAGGAGGGGGAGAAGAAGAATTCTGACGAAGAGGAGGACAGAAGGAGGAGGATAAGAAGAAGGAGCAGGTGGCAAGAGGGGGGAGGGGGAAGAAGAATCTGAACTTTTGTGAAGAAGCCTAAAGAAGGCAAAAAAAAAAAAAAAAAAAAAAAAATCGCCACTTGGCTGCCTATCGGAAAAGGGGTAGTGGTGGGGCGAGAAGGTGAAGGAGGAGGAGTGGGTGGAGGAGGGGGAAAGAAGACAAAGAAGAAGAAGAAGAAGAAGAAAGAATGATGGGCGAAGACCGAATGGGTGGGGGCGAAGACCAATGGGTGCTGGGTGCTCTCTCTCTCTCTCTCTCTCTCTCTCTCTCTCTCTCTCTCTCTCTCTCTCTCTCATAGAAGAAGAAGAAGAAGACGACGAGTATCTCTCTCTCTCTCTCACCACAAGTGGGTGCTGGCACGTAGTCGATGGCACGTGGAGGGGCAGGCTGCTGTGTCGAGTTCCGGCTCGCACGATGGCAGCAAACACGATGGCAGGAGGCGGGAATGTCGAAGTGCAAACGTGACGGCAGCAATGGGGGCAGCAGGAGGCAATGGCTGGTGCGTGGAGGGTAGAGGCGGCCGCCAGATCCCGCCCAAATCGTTTCAAAAGGGAGGCCTATCTGGAACACCGATCTCCTGAGATCGGCCGCCCTTTAAAAACGATTTGGGCGGGCCCACCGGACCGGTTTCCTTTTTCTTTTTTGCCCGCTGGCCTCCTACAGACCTTTTTGCACCCCTCGTGGTGTTTGGACCCCGGTACCCTTCCCCGGCTGTGATGCGCTTGGGCCGGTCGGGGGAGGGGGCCAGGCCGGTCGACCGGCTGGTCTAACCGGAACAGTTCCGGCTCGAGGAGGGCCCCCTGGTCGGACCAGGGACCAACACTGAACAAGACACAAAAGAAGAGGAAGTTGGATGTTTTCATCAACATGCCTCGGAAAAATATGAATGATATCAGACATTCCATTCTCTTGTCAGCAGGTTTTTAAATTTTCATTGTGAGCATCATAGCCTCTTCGAAGTTGTGTTTGTTTCCTTTGTGCAGCCTCTGCAAACTGTTTTCAAACTTTCTATTTGAGAAGTACAGACTACAAATTTATGGTGCACATTTCAATGCTGAATTGCTTGGTACTAACATTTTTATTTCCAAAATTGATAACGAAGACTTCTTTTTTTTTTTGTCTTTTTTTTTTTTCTTGCCATTTTTGTGGAGGCGGAAGACTGCACAGGTCACTTAACCAAATTTGTGCAGGCGGAAGACTTCTGTATCAAACAAGTCACTAATTTGTCCTCTTGCCATATTTGTGTAGACGGAAGATTGCACAGGCATGCTAGGTTGGTAAATCATCCAGTGAGGCGCAAAGAGAGTTTTGTCGGGCGTTAGCGGCCTCTCGGGAAAGAGCACTTTGTCCTTTGCTCGGGTGCCCCTGAAAGAAGGCCTTGTGCTTAGCACCGACTGGAAGGAGATAAAGCCACAATCCACGTAAACAGACTTCCGGACGAAAAAGACCAAGGCCTACTTTGTCCATTTGTGCATTCCGGTATTGAAAGGCCTACAGGGATCCCCAGCTCTGGAATCTAGGACCGCAGAAAAGTGAAGAGCTCAGACCCGCACAGGTCATGATTTCAGACATTCAATGCAAAAACTGACCAGATCCATAGAGGACCTTAATCAAACACAGGAAACGAGCGGCGGAAAGCCAGTGCTCGGTGTAGGGCCCAACCCTGTTAGACTTTCGAGCCTAGCCATATATCACGTCTTAAGGGCCGGGACTTGATTTGGGTTCCCGACATGGCGCGCAGCGTCCAAAGAACACTGACCCCGTGGCTGACAGGCTTTAGAGGGTTGTAGGGATAATTATTGGGTGTTATATGTGTGGGAAGAAGGCAGTCCTTCCTTGGAACAATTCTTTGGGGTGTCCTGGGAGATTCATGTTTATCCACCAAGAAAGAAATGTGATTAAATCATTTGCTGGACTCTTTATAAGGCATCGCCTATGGCAGGAAAACATGGTTGACCAATTCGCTGGATCTTTCTAATCATCCAATTTTGCCTGTTGTCTGATACTGGACTGTGATATGTTTTGTTGTATGGGGTCTCCTTGTCCTCTGGCAGTGTTTCAGGTCAGGTCAAGCTCCATCTGGAGAGCTGAATGGTGCATGGATGATCATGAGGCGATCAATCAATGATCGTCTGATGCTTGCAGAGAGAGCTGTGATTTCAGCAGAGGGGATCGATGAGTGCTCCTCATGCAAGAATCTGGTAATGCATTGTCAAGTTGCAAACACTTACAGTGAATGGTTGTTTTCCATTTATGTGCGTGATCCTGCCACAGGGGCCATGCTAATCTTCTCTGTATTTTTCCAATTCCGGTGAACGTAAAATTCAGGACCGTTGCTCAACATTACAGGAAAGAAGTGGCAGTGCTCTCATGAGATTCAAAAGGAACGGGACATACAGGGAGAGAGAGAATTGAAGAGAGCCAAGGGAGGGCAGAGAAAGTTGGACCGGGTGGGAGAGAGACGTAAGAAACCTAGGAGTAAGAAGAAGAGAGCAGAGCACAGAGTGGGGGAGACAGGGGTTGAGAGTAGAGAGGGAGAAAGACGTGGAGAGAGAGAGAGAGAGAGAGAGAGAGAGAGAGAGAGAGAGAGAGAGAGAGAGAGAGAGAGAGAGAGAGATCTGTGACAAGTATGTGCCCGCAGCTCTCTTCTCTCCCTACTCCTTTACCCCCTCCACTTTTTCATCCCAGGTCTCAAACCTCTTCCAGGTGGTCAAACACAAAAATGGAAAGTTGCAAGTGCCAAGTTCAAGATCCGCACGGAATTCGTCTAGGGTCGTAACTTTTGGTCCAGTCAATGTTCAGGGGTCACATCCGCACAGACTTTCAAAGGTCGTCAGAAATCCTTGAGTCAAAAAATACTAGGTCAAGGGTCAAAAGAGGCACCCCCTAGAATGGAATGACATAGATTTTCTTGTTTTGGAGCTTAAAAGAAAAAGAGAATTTTTGAAGTTCTTCAAAAGGAAAGGGAGATGAACTGGAGGAGGGGGGCAGATGCGCTGGGGGGAATTGAAGGAGATGGGTGAGAGATGGTGAGAAGATGGGCAGAAATGGCAGTGAAATGGGGAGGAGATGAGGAGAGAAGCCAGGGAGATCAATGAGATCGGGAGGCTGTGGGGAGATGTGGCGAGGAAAGTTGTGACAACAGGGGCGGGAGTCAGTGGGATGGATAGAGATGGGCAGGTGAAGTGAGAGGCATCATGGGAAAGTTGAGATGGTGGTGGACCTGGAGGGGGAAGGTGGGCAATGCAGAGACCAGTTACAGCGACACAGGGGCGGGCGAGGGGGAGAGCACACGGAAGTGGCAAAAGGCAAGACTCTCTCTCCCCATCCCTCCCTCTTTCTCTGTGCCATACTGCGCAGCCACACGGGCCTGCAGGGCCCGACCAGACGGAAAATAAGGGCCCTACAGGCCCTGTGTCGTTTCAGCCTAAAAGCCTGAAAACGAGGGCCATTTTCAGGCGCTCGTAAAGTCGACCTGCCCTAGAAACTCTGGTGCCCGACCAGGGTTTAGCACAGGCCATTTTTGGGCGTGTTTCAAGACAACCTTTGTTTGAACTTCAACGCCAGGGTCTGGCACGTTTCGGCATTGGCAAGAGCAGCCTCCGAACGGGCCGGCGCTATATAGAACTGGCCTGCCCTGCAGGCTGCAGGTGGTCATAGGGACTTCCCGGGCAGTTCACGGGTACTTCACGTGCAGGAGGCAGGAGGCAGGAGGCAGGATTCGGCAGCAGCACTCTGGAGGAGCGCTGCAGTAGTAGTAGTAGCATTAGGAGTAGTCTTCAGCACTGGGCACTATTAGGAGCAGGAGTAGTGTCGGAGAGAGAGAGAGAGAGTTGGCGGAGGCCAGGGAGACTTACCTGTGGCGCCATAGCCCCAGCTTCGTCTTCGAGGTACCTGCAACCAGGCGCCACCTTCACAGGTTAGCACCGGACTGAGAGAGAGAGAGAGAGAGAGAGTTCTCCTTCTTCCTCTTCTAAGTCCACCATCTCTCCCTCACCCTCTCGCTACCTGACTTCTCAGTATCTGCAGACCACAAGAGGGGGAGAGAGAGATTGGCGACTTTGGGACTTGACAACATTTGGATTCAGACTCGACATTGGGATTGAGACATTGGACGAGGTACCGAAGACTTGGTGTTGACGACATTCCCATCTTCCCCCTCTTCTTCGTCTGATCCCCTCCTCCTCGTCTGTGTATGGTCTGGACCTGGCGCCTCCTTCCTGTGTGTAGCGCCAGGCCCTTCCCACCTTGCGATGATGATGATGTATGTTTAGTCTGCATTGCGGCATTGATTGGTCGGATCATTGGTATTTTAGCTTTCCGCTGCGCTATCTTGTACTATGTGAGAGAGGTCAGTTCTATTTCTGGTCTGCACCGTTACGGTATGCGACAGTTTGGTATCGGAGCAGACCTCTCAACCAGAGGACCCGCCCAATCAAGTAGCCAGCTTGCTTGATCTACTGATTGTTGAATGATTGATTGATTGATTATTAGTAAATCAAGTAGGACTTCGTCAAATCTCTGCAAATTTATTATTTATATTCTTTTTTCTCTCTTTTTTGCAACTTCGGATATTAGTGCGAGGCACAAGGCCTTGATAAGCCCTACCGGGCCCCTATTTGCAACAGGTCGGCCGCCCTACGTGAAGGCAGGCTTGACAGACGACAAGAGGCCTATTTTGGACTACTTCGCAACTGGGGGAACATTCAGGCAGTTGTGCAGCGCCAGTTTGGTTGAAGGCGCCCAGGCCCTGGCCTCCTTTATCAAATGTATCTAAGTCAGGCCCTGGGCAAGAAACGGAACATGGACCGAACACAGGCCGCAGACAGTTGGACACGGGGAACTACCACAGGCCCAGGCCCTGATTCGTTTGGCGTGGGCCTCAGCCTCCCGGGGCCTACCGGAAGCTTCTGGGCAAAGGCCCAGTGCAGCCAGGCTGCACGCAAGCAGGCTGGCCACTTCCATTTAGGAGAGGGCCAGCCCACGCATTGGGCATTCGGGCACTGGCTGCATGCTGTGCAAGCGCTGCTGCACTGACGCTCGCCAGCGCTCACGCGCTCACGGAGCTGGAAGGAGCAGGCAGCCATAGCCGAGCTGCGCTGCTGTATGCTGGATGGGGCGAATGGTGGTCCTTGGGTGCATGTGGCATCTGTGAGTTGGGGAACGAGGTTGTGAGTGATACGAGAGACACACCTGGTGCTTGAAGTGTACGGCCTTGGCCGAGATCTGCTCATACTTCGGGGAGCTGTTGACGTCATCGGCCGCATTGCTGATAGGCTAGATAGGATCTGCCATTTGTAGTCTGGGCGCCGAGCGCCAGATAGGATATCGACATTGGTTCTTCGTTGATGATGATGAGACTATTCCAGCATTGTCAATTATGAGCTTTTGCTGTGCTCTTATTTGGTGAAACTCGTGATGCAATTCTGCTATTGGTTCGAGGTCATGACTATCTGGTCACATGTGTATGATGCTGTTTGATTTCTGAAGTTCGCTATCGCTCATTTTCCTTGCAATTTGGTAGCAGAGCTGTGGTACGGTGTGCTCATCTGGCGCTTGTCTTCTGCCTTTGCGGTACATGCACGCGTTCCGCTGGGCGAGCGGCCGTGGGAGGTGTGTAGTGAGGAGGGTGGAGACAAGTGTGGCGACCCAGGAGGTGAGGGGTATCGCCAGGAAGGCTACTAAGTGGTGAATATTGGGTGTTCGCAGTGTGAGGAGAACTATCTGATGTGTGATTGATGCTGAGGTGGAACGGTGGTGCAATGCTGGTTGTGCCGAAGCAGCGATTGGTCATCACAATCAACATCGGGTCATCTGGTGAGAATATATGTGGTTGGGGGCAGCTATTTTGAGGTAAGTTGCACCTAACCTTATCTACCCTCTTCGACACTTCTTACCGTGAGGATGTGTGTTCTGTCTTGAGAGTCCTCTCATGTGAGGAGTCGTGTGCGCTCAACCTTGAGAGTCGTCAGTCTTCATGTGGAGCATCTGGAAGGAGAGGGCGGTGCTATCTGAAGGGCCCTGGACGAAGCACTGGGTCACGGTCACCATGCCAACCCACCGGGAGTAGAGCACGCATGCTTTCTGCTTTGTCCTTTGTCTGCTCGCTGCGCTATAGAGGGGTTATGAGGGGCAGGCCAGCCCTATGGGAAAGACGAGACCGGACGTTTATAAATAAGTACCGGCGGGGACCTTCCATTGGTTGTGATCGTCGTCCTGCTTGCAATGTTAAATAATTCCTGAGGACTTTGGGGGCCGTCCATAAAAACACCTCCTGATCAGCCAATCGGTCGGTGTAAGGCTCGCTGCACGTGAGGATAAAGACTGTGCAGGGCTGGCCAGCTCAGCAGGACTCGGGGCACAGGGTTGGGCCGTGTGCACACCTTTAGACACGCACGCTGTTCCGGATTGCTCAGGGACGTTGACGACAAGAGACATTCAGGAAGAGCTGAGGGAGGGGTAGATTCCAGGTGATAAGTTCGGACAAGATTCCATTCTGCAAACAGACCCAACAAATGATTCTATTTTTAATTTGATTAGTTAGATGTACAACCATTAACATCTGACATACAACATAGTTAGAAATGTTCTTTGTTCATTGTGCTCGTTGTTTGCGAACTAGTGAAAGTCAAAGTAGTTTCGTTTCGAGGAATCTGAACTTACCTGTTGGACTCAAATGTAGCTACTCTGACACAACCATCGATTAATGTAATCGGTCTGTGCACTACGTTGCGGTAGGCATGTGTACAGCTCTGTAGCTTATGAGCGATAGGGATACCACTAGTGAGGACGACCGGATCTTGGAATCGGCTAGACGCCCCATTGCCCACGTGGCATTAGGACCCGAGGGTGATAGGTTACTATTCCGCCAGCTTAGGGAGAGACAGCAGCAACAGCGGAGAGCTAGGGCAGCAAAGGCCAGCAGGGCATTCGCAAGTGAAGCCGCTGTTTCAGCAGCCATGGCAACCGTTGCGCAGCAGAGTTCCCAGGCTAGCAGTTCAGGGGCCGTAGGGTCAACGGTCGCGCAGAGCCTGAGTCAGTCCACTGGCGTTATGGCAAGCCAGCCTATAGTGTTGACTTTCGATGAGATCGCCATACAGCAGGCAACACTGCAGGAGGCACAACTATCGAGGGCTTTAGGAGAGATTAAAGCGGAGAAGGAAAGAATGATTAGAAGAAGAGCCAGGATGCAGCGGAGAGA